GGTACTCAACACAGGCTCCTAAAACATTAAAGCCATCTATTACCTCCTTGAAGTCTTGGAACTCAGTTAAGACTGCCACCTATCACAAACTTGTTTGAAAAGTCAATGCTACCCTAGTGCTAGGTCTTCCAGCAGAGTATCAACGGGCTACTAAGGTCTCCTTTTTATTATTACTATAATAATTATCATAATCATTATCATATGATATGGTTGCAATCCTATACTCATGACCTGTGAGTACGTTCTACGATACTGACAGTCATTTGCTCGGTGACTTATTTAAAGTAGAAAGAAGCAGGTTTCAGTAGATTACTATCTTTTACAGGAATTCTACATAGCTGTTCTAACTACCCAGTCACCTGAGTTATTTAATCAAAATCACACACACACACACACAAAAATCAACATTCTTTCTAATGAAGGAATCCTATTGTGGTTTTGGTGTTTGATGCATCTATATCTCTTAGAACATGTATCTGTATTTTGAAATTTATATTCTAATGGATGGCTAAAATGATGCTTTGAAAATGATATTTTAAGTACATTATTTTTAATGTTTCAAATTGTTTTAAATGAATGCTTTTAACTGGAACAACACTAATTCAGCGTACATAATCTATCATTACAGTGAAAAAAATTAAAATATAATAAACATATTTCCTACCAAGTCTTTTTTTTTTCCCTGAAATCAGAAAACACTGTCACTGTGGGAACTTTATCTTCACTATAAAGCAGTCACATCTTTATTTAAAAATCCTATAGACGATGGCTATCTTAGAATACTTATCTATATTATTCTTATATTCTGTGCTTCTAATATCTTAATTTACCGAGACTATAAGCACACATCACAGTAAGCAATGCAATATGGACCAAAGTCCAAGAAAATATTCACGGGGTCTCTCGGAAGAGAAGAAAATGCTGATAAAGTTGAGACCAAACACAACTAAGGTACAAATGCAAACATCACCATAGGGATGATAATATTCACCATCTTTCCAGATTTCCAAAGAGGGTAAAGAATTACCTCCACATGCATTATTGTCAGGATTACACCTCCCCCCTTACAAAATAAAGTTATAACACATGTGCAAGATATAGAATTCTATAATTCTAAGAATTCCTTGTAAAACTCAACTAGAATATGGATATAAACAAAAAAGGAAATAACCTAGTTGCATAATGTTTACCATTTACGACTCCAAAAGACCACAAAGCCCTTAGATGAACAAGAAAATACACCTGAGGCATAATTGTATCTGGAGAAAAAAAAAAAAGGCTATCGTAGTTGAATATGCATTAATGAATTGTTTCCTCATGTTTTATATAATTCTTAGAGAAAGTTCAAATTAAGTCCCCAAAAGGATGTTTTAATTATAAGAAGCAATATTTTAAAACTCATACAAGCCATCACACTTGTTTGGAAACAAATGACTTCTCAAGATGTAGAAGTATTACTATCAATCACCAACAAGTTAATTCTACATAATAAGGCAGGTTTGGATGCAAACTGACCCACTGTGGAATGCTGTATCTAAAATTGATTACAACAGCACTCAAAATGAATGCAGCCCTCTAAACCACTTCTTTGCTCAGAAACATTAATCTCAATTAGAAGGAGAGCTTCATAATGGTAATGCTTGGTATAAAAAAAGTATGAAATAAATCAGTTTTTATAAGACACAACAATTAATCAGTTTTGAAACTTATAAGTATTTTTTTTAAGTACAAAATATCCATCAGGATTCTTAAAACATCTGCTCTCTCCAAAATAAGTCTTTGAATGTGTTCTGAAAGAAGCTTAGATGACATAATTTTTTAAGAGTCAGTTACTAAAACTTTTGAGTAGCATAACATCATTGTGCTATCTTTTCGGTACAGTTCTTTATTTTGAATAAAGGGGGTTAAATTCTCCTCCAGACTATCCTTCCACTGTATGAAACAAATATGAACAATGGCTTTAGCTGCAAATTCAAAGGGATACACAACTGGGTGTGGATCAGAGTAAAAGTTTGATAGCAAATTACCGTATGCTTTGCTGATATTCTCAGTGGAAGTAAAGAAAGTGTGTTCTGAAAGTCCAAATACATTCGGCTATCAAATAAAACATGGGGTAGAGGAGCAATGTGTCACTGAACATGCCTAACAGGTTTCTACAAGCACATCTTCAGGAAAAGAGTCGACAATTCATTAACACTGCTGAATACCCTGATTCACGTAAGTATAATACCTTGAGGACACTCCTCAGCCGCCCAGAAATAAAAATTTTACAGGGATAAATAGAGCTTAAATCAAAGGAGGTAATCTATTTATTAAAATGATCAATATTAGTAAACAAATAAAGTTGCATTTACGACGCTTTTATATAAGACTATGAGTATCATCGGGACTCACTCCCCAGCACCATCGTACGCAGGACAAACCTGAGTATTTCCAAACATGCTTTCACAGCTATTGCAAAAACATCATTTTTTGTCCATCGAGCTCAAAGTTGATCAAGTATTCCTGATAGGTCATTCTAACTCACAACGATAGCCATACACTTTTGCCTGGTGTCTTATTTGCTTGACTCTCTACAAAGAAAATAATTTTAACTCTTGGCTTTCAGAAGCAAAGCTAAGAAAGAGTAGCTGGAACTTGCTAACTGGATTATTATTGTTTGGCTAGGGTTTCTTTCGGAATAAATTTGAAACTTTTCACTCTATTTAGGTGCTTTCTTCTATTCGAAGATAAGCATCCTTATCTTTCTTTGTCTTCACCCTAATAAAGCAGGTTCTTCTTTCTAACCTAAAGACGCATGACACGCCTACAAGATCATAGTAAGCAAAGCCTGTATAATTTACCTAAAACACTACTTTCTAGAAAATAAACTCAGCCATACAAAATGATTCAGTTTGGAAAGAAAAAAAAATAGTCAGAATTCTACTATAATTTTATCTGCTTTATTTCACAAAATTAAGAAATCCTCATTAGGGTCGATACTCCCTGTCTATGAGTTGCTAACATTAATGCTGTTGGCACAGGATACTAATATGTGTTTTTCAAATATATAAGCACTGGCATAGTTATTAGTACATAAATACGTTTTCATAAAAACTGTGTAGTATATGCAAAAATATACTTGTCTTACTTGAACAGCTTCCTCTCATAACATACATCCTTTCTAAAATTGTCTAAAATAAAATATATTTTTTTTGGCCACTAGCAAAAAAAAAATGGTACCTTTGAGTAAGAAGAATACAATTCAAATAAGAAAGAAGGCAAATTGTCAAGGAAAATGCAACAGGAAGAGAGATACATTCAATCCTGAAATACACAATAGAATAACTTAACCAAACTCATTATAAACCCCTATCTTTGAAGAATTTAGGAATAATTTGTGAATGCCATGACATTTTAAAGTGGGATTAGCAAGTCTTATTACTGAACTAACCTCTCACTCTTAGAGCAAGAATTAAATATTTGCTCTGCATTTAGAATCACAAATCGAAAGTTTCACGGCTCTTAGAAGAATTTCAGATACTAAGAAATAAAGGCTAGAAGTTTTAGATCATTAAGAATGTATGAAGGAGTGCACAAAGCAAGACCGTTTGTGTCTTGCTTGTGTAAAAATGTCTGTGTCAACTGCAATATTGAAATCTTTTGAGTTTTCATTATACTCTCTCAATTCTAAACTCTGTTCCTCATGTGCTAGCTAGAGTAAGACCAAAAATACTTGAGCAGGTAGGCAACCGTGTGGAGGAGGGTATGCATCGTATCTGAAACACATCCACTAAAGGAATCAAATGGCAAGTTCTGCTAAGCTGCAATACCACCTTTTGGGGGTACGCTTCCAAGCTTCCCAAAGATGCCAGTCCTGTCTTTTTGTTTTGTTTTGTTTTGTTTTTGACAACAGAAAGGAAAGGTAACGCTTGAACATAGTTCTGCTTCGAGGGAAAAGACCACCCAGTGGATCCTGCCAGAGCCTACAAATGTTTGGCAAATACATTGCCAGAAGATAAGAAGCAAGAGTATTAGGAAGAGGCAGTCCAGCTTCCCCGGGATCCCAGCAGGCTGGGGCCCTGCGGAAAGCGCTTGGACAGCTCTCGCCCTGTCCCCCGCACAGCGCTTACCCAGAAGTACCTGCAAACTTTTCTGCAGCTCTGAACCGTCAGGACTTCAGAAAACACAAGCATCTGCTGTTACTGCGCGGTGGGATTACCTGTCACCCTTTCTCCTCAATAGCTCAGCAGCAGGTCACCACTGCAAGTCCCTGGAAGGGGAGGTACCGAGCGTGGACTCCACGCTGCACGGAGGGGGGTGCTGAGCGGGGATCACCACGGTCCACCTCCACGGAAAGCACGTGAAGCTCCTTCCAACGCGGCGCGAGGCTCGCTGCAGCCCGAGCTGGGGCGCAGGTCCACGGGCTGCGGTCGCCCTGCGTGCCCACCCCAGGGGGTCGGCCTGCGCGCGGCCCCATCAGAGTGTCCAGGCCAAGTCCGGGCCCCGGGCTGCTGCGCGCTCCCCGCCTGCCCGACTCGGCTGCCCGCGACTTGGAGAAGCCCCGCGTGCACCGCCCCGCAAAGCGGGGACACTTCGGGGCTTCCCGCTCGCTGGGAGCCCCCCGGGGTCTCCTCGGGCAGCTTCTCGGGGGACGCAGCGCCCCGGGGCCGGACCCCCCCTTCCGAGCTTGCCTTCCTCGGGGGAGGGGGGGGGACCCGCGAGCCCGGGGCTCCCCGGAACCGCCGCGCCGAGCCCCGAGCTCCCACCTGAGCCCGCGGCCCGAGGTGTCAGACGCGAGGGCGGGGGGGGGGGGTGGCCCGGGGAGGCCGGACCCCGGGCAGGGTAGGGCAGGGCAGGGGAGGGGAGGGGAGGGGAGGGGGGGCACCGCGCGCCCAGGACGCGGCTGCTCCCGGGCCACCCCCGCCGGCCGACCTGCCGCCGCGCCCCCCGCCCCCCGCCCCGGGCGCCCGGACCCCGGGAGCAGGCAGGAGGGCGCGCCGGCGCCGGCGCCCACTTACCCGCTCGGCTGTCCCCGGCCGCGGCCGCCGCGTCCACCGAGCCGCGCGCGCCGCACTTGGCCAAATTCAAAGGAGCCGGGCGCGGGGGGAGGGGGCCGCGGAGGGAGCGGAGCGTGGGAGCGGGGGGCGGGGGCGGGGGCGGGGGCGAACGGCAAGTGTTACAACTTCCCTCCCCGGGCCGCGGCGGGGGCAGGGCGGCGCGCAGGAGCGCCAATGAGTTCACTTTCTTTCCCTCCCCTGCGCGCGCTCTCCACCCGCCTCCCTCCCTCCCTCCCTCCCTCCCTCCCTCCCTCTCCCTTCCCGCCGGGCCCTCGGAGCCTCCAGCTCGGCCCCGGAGGCCCGGCCCGAGTTTGCGGTCCTCGGCGGGGCGAGGGAGGAAGAGGAGGAGGAGGAGGAGGAGAAGGAGGAGGAGGAGGAGGGAGAGGCGAGGAGGCGAGGGCGCCGCGCCGGGGAGCAGCATCCAGGACCTTAATTGTGTGACCCGGGCGCGGGGGGCGGGGGGGGCGCGTACACGTGTCCGCGCGTGTGTGTGTGTGTGTGCGTGTGTGCGAGAGGCGAGGAGCCTACCATGCGCTTCCCCCCGTGCAGATCGCGGGAGAGCCCAACCTCGGGCGAGCTGGACCCGGCTCTGATCATTTATAATCCTGGACGCCTCCGCTCCGCCACTTGTCAAGGTGACAGGTACTTTATCTCTTCTTCTTTTTTATTCCAAAAAAAAAAAAAAAAAAAATTGAGAGGAGGCCGAGATTCCCCCGTTTGCTGCCTCTTGCTGTCAAATGGGATTTGCCGGACTGAACCACGTCGCCGCCCCTCCCTGGCTCCCGCCTCCCCCCTCCCCCCTCCCCCCTCCCGGCCGCGTCGGGCGCGGGGAAGCTCCGAGGCCCGCGTGCTGCGACCAATCAGGGCATCTACTACTCTCGCCGTGATTTAGGGGTCATCCGTGAATAACACTTCACGCTGATGAATGGCTCTTGCCGGCTGGCGGCCCCGATGAGGGGTCGGCCCGCCGCTGATTGCAAACACTAATGAACTTACATTCACGCGCACCTACGAAGTGCAGGGGGGGGGGTACGTGCGTGGGGGGGGGAGGAGGGCTGGGGGAGGGGGCGGGTCATTCCGTGCTTGGGACCCAAGCGGAGAAACACCTCCCGGTGCAATCAGACCTCTAACCTTCTTATAGGAAAAGTACTTTTCTTGATCCTTCCGTAGGGTGGGCATTCCAGGTCAGCTGAGTCACCCGAGGAGGCAGGAGTGCGAGACGCTGCCGGGAAGATGGATTCCGAGGCAGAAGGGTGCAATTAAGGATTTCCACCCCCGGGAGGCGGCCGGTCCTTTGCAAGAGGCTCTGAAAGTGCCCTGCGCCTTTGCCTTCCAGGCTGGCCTCCCGGGCGAGGCTGACAGCGCCAGTGACCCGGGCGCGCTGCGCGGGGCTCCGCACACCGGGACCCCCGGAGCCCCGACCCGGCGGCGGCGGCGGAGCAGCCCCGGGACCTCCCCCCACCCCGGCGCGCACCGGCGGGGGCATGGCTCCTGGAGGCCTCTAAAGGCTCCGCACCCCGCATCCTCCCACCCCCGGTCCTGCCCCAGATGAGCAGCCCCACGCAGCCCCGGCCTCCACTTTGCGGTGGGAGGGAAAGGGAAGTTTACTGCTCTCCGCAGGAGAACTGCCGCTTTCTACCCACTTAAGTTCCCTGCAACACCCTCGCTCCCGACTCCCCAGCGCCGGCCTCCCCGGCCTCGGGGAAGCCCGCCCGGGGCAGAGGCAGCTCCGGCAGCGGGGCGTTCGGGACACCCGGTCCGCGACCTTGGCGCAGCCGCTCCCGGACCTTCGCCCCCTGGAACCTGCTCCGCACCCACCGCAGCGGGGCTGGGGCGAGCGCGCTCGCGGCGCCCGGGGCGCGCTGGGCTGCCCTCCCGGAGCCCTAGCCCCCCACCCCGGGGTCCCCTCCCGGAGCCCTAGCCCCCCACCCCGGGCTCCCCTCCCGGAGCCCTAGCCCCCCACCCCGGGCTCCCCTCCCGGAGCCCTAGCCCCCCACCCCGGGCTCCCCTCCCGGAGCCCTAGCCCCCCCCATCCCCTCCTGGAGCCCTAGCACCACCCCCCGGGCTCCCCTCCCGGCGCCCTAGCCTCCCCCGCCCGGGAGCAGCCCTGAATTAGTGCCCCGGGCCTTCCCGGCCGCCGGCACCCTTGACCCAGGCAGCCTGGCCGAGGAACGCGAGCTCCCAGCCTGCTCCCTGCATCCTCCACTTCAGGTGACTTCAGAGCAGGTGACCAGCCCCTAACGGGGAGGGACCCGGGCTGGAAGGACAGACACCTGTGCTTGTAACTCCGCGCAGAACAAGAGACAGACTAAGCCCTCGGAAAACAAGAGCAGTGCCTCCTAGGACAGCCTGTGGCTTCCTCGTAGAGTTTCTCCAAAGTTTTGGGCAGGATTGACCAGGAGAGTCCCTGAACTTGAATTAGCGCGCCCAGTCGCACCGAGTTCCCGAAGTTGTTAAATGACCAGACGCACCCACTGGTTAGGAAACCAACGGTAATGCGTGACCGCGGTGACCCCACTCCCGGGGTTGCCAGTGACGCGAAGCACTGCAAGCACACCTACTCCGCAGGAATCTGGAGTGCCCTGGGGTGGCTCAGGCTCTTTCCTGTTTTGCATGTTTCACACTTGAAAATATAAAAGGGCAGCGGGGGCAAACGAATGCTTATTCCCCTCTCAGCCTAGCCATCCTCATTTTCTTAAGAAAACTTTTGAATTGTGAAGCTGTACCCCAGATATTACATGACGGTCACACCAGCTACTTAAAATTTGCATCCCTGATGATCTGATCATAAGGAAACCTGAAGGGTGTTGCATAAATCACCTTTGTAGCCCAGTTCCCACAAAAACATCTTAAGTGTTCAAAACTTTCTTAAGTGTCCATGTAACACTCCCCCTTGCCCTTTTGTACCTTACTATCTAGGAATACACACACACACACACACACACACAGAGAGATAAGACCCGTCCTAAAGAGGCCAGAACAGAGGAAGTCAATTGCCCGTAGAACAGGCAGGAGGTGTGTGTGTGGGGGGGGGGATGGCATGTTTCTTCTTTTCAGCTCTTTTCTCTTTTCAGCCCTCATTATAGCTAAAGCTGGTAATGAGCATAGGAAACAATAGAACTCATAAAATTTAGAAATGGTAATAAATCTTGAAGCTTGTCTCTAGCCCAGCTCCCCGTTACATGATATTCAAAGTTTTCCAGTATGTGATGCTGAATGTTCACACTATTTGTTTGCAACCTAGACAAAATAACTCTAGAACTCGTTCACCCAGGCCCCTGCACTCTGTGCCACACTACGGGGTGTCCTCAACCACCGTCTGCCAGTGGAAGGCTAAGCCCGAAATCCAGGCAGTTTACATGTGTTAAGTTTGAGGCTTCCTGGGTGGTGGGTTGGTTTTTTTTTTTTTTCCTGCACTAACAAAGAAGTTCCATCATTCGAGGTGGTTGGGGAAAGCTGATGTTGTACAGTGCCCAACTATACCAACGCTTTCTCCTCCGAATGCATCCTTGGAAAGCAGAGAGGCGGCTTGCTACGTGACCATCAGGCTTTTTGCCTTGCTGAGCAGTCGTCAGGGGAGGGCGGGGACGGTGGGGAGATCACACGGAGCCCTCGGCTGCAATAAAAACTCTGAGCGGGAGAAGAAATGCAAGACGTGGCTGCTTTGCAAACCTCTGGCCGCTCACAGCAAACTCTGCCCGCACTGCTGGTGACTTTGCCGCGTTAAGGCAGCTGGTCGGTCATGCACAGGATAATGGGGCCGAGCTGGCGGCATCGACCTCCCGTGGGGCCCCCTTGTCACAGTGATACGCAGCTCTCCGGAAAAAAAAAAAAAAAAAAAAAAAAAAAAAAAACGTTGCTGAGCTCCCCTTGCAGCCCCTACCCCCACACCTGGAAATGCACGCCTGCGGCCCTTGCAACCCCCTATGGCCTGCTGGGGAGGCAGATCAGGAACCAAACCACTTTGGGATTAGGAAGGAAAGGCTGTGCCCTCAGGACTGAGATCGGGTGGGGAAGGGACAGGCTCTGGCCCTGCTGCTGAGGCTGGGCCACCAGCCCCTGTTCTGGGGCTCCCTCTACTCCCCACTTCAGGGGACGGTCGCTCCTCACTTGAAGGTGATGCCCATCCCTTTGAGTCGGTATCACGTGAGCCTCCCCTGGGGGCTGATGCTTTGGGGGCTGTCAGTTTTCGCCTCCCGTCCTACAGGTCCAGCCTGGAGCCGTGGAGGCTGGGTGGCAGCTGTTCCTGGCTCCCTCCCGTGGGGCGCAGCCGGTCTCGGCAGCCACTTCCTCCCTTGACATGCGGGGCTTTGAGACGTGCAGAAGGGGAGCACCGGGCAGGCAGGTAGGAGGCTCTCCCGGGAGGTTCCTGGGCACCGCTCCACGCGTGGGCATCCTTTGTTGTTACTACATCAGCTCTAGCAAACTGAGGCAAGAACGGCCTGACTGTAGGGCTGCAACCTCTCCCACCAAAGGGGTTCTGGGCGCTGCTAAGGAAGGGGGGAAAATGACTCAGGGAACCACAGTTTAGACATTTAGGACTTCCCGCTGACCCTTCAAAGAGATCAGGAAAGCCAATAATCTATATTACTTCCAAAAGGATGTTATGTCTCAACTGAGGACAATAAGTGATGAGCAGCTTAAAACAGAGGCTGAAGGCTGGCAGTCAGGGGAAGGAAGAGCCCAGCCAGAGTCCTAGGCGCTTGGAGTGTTAAAGAAATCACTTTGCAAACGATGAATCTGGAGCAATTTACAGCACTAGAACCTAACTTCTACACCGAAGTCTCTCAGGTAGCTCTAAAGTTGTTATCAGGTGTTTGCTGTTAGGTTGAGAGACACTGTAAAACAAATCTTCTAATTTGATCACTGATCAAGTCATAAAATTAAGTGACTATTGGTGGTGGAAAATATGCTTTCATTACCTTAATTAAAGCAAGAAAGGCCTCTCTCCATGCAAATCCATTTTGGGGCTACCCAGTGAACTGGTGATCCGACAAATGAACCTTTAA